GAGGGTAAAGAAGACAGAAAAACTTATCCTACCAGCTAGAATGACGCCCAGCGGCAATAACCCAAGCTAGAAACCCGGACAGGAAAAAAGCAGAAAAATCAGAGTGATTGTCCAGCCGTTAATGGCGCTGCCATATGGCCGTCAGTAACGTGGTTAGTGATGTAAGGGAAGAGAATCTTGGGGTCATGGGGCTTCCCCTGACCTAGATTCTATCTCTCCGTTACGGGCAGAATCGCTGATTAATGCCTACAGTTCAAAATAGTCATTTTGACTGACCGGAGTCTATGATGGGTATGAACTATGTGAATTGGCATAATACATGTATATTGCAGAGTGTTATATGTAGATTCAGTAAGGTCAATTTCTTGAAGATGCTGAATTGTTCGAGTTCAAACATTGAGTAAAGAAAATAGAGTTACAAAAATGACCACGCCCATATTTCAGAAACCATGCCCTTTTTTGAGAAACATCGCCCAAATTATAACTTGATATACATTTTTGTTTAATGTCAACATTTAATAACTCTGTTCTGTTTAACGTTAATTTAGTAACTCAAACTTTAATTAACAGTTGACTGAACTTCAAGTTACGGGCAACATACAATGTTTAACAAAACAAGAAATCTATGTTGCCAGAAGTTTAATTAATTAACTGTTAATTAAAGTTTGAGTTACTAAATTAAATGTAGACGTTAAACAACAGTAACACTTCATGTTGCCCGTAACTCGAAGTTTGGTTTACTGTTTATTAAACATTGAGTTTTAGTTTGGAGGTGGTTTTGCAAAAGTGGGCGAGGTTTCTGAAATATGGTTGATGTTTTTGTAACTCAATGTTCGTTACTCGAACAACTCAGCATCTCAATTTATTGCCACATTATCTAGCATCGTCTTAACGATGCATTCCAAGGACGATCATTTCCTAAAAATGTACACCACTAGTTTGTGAATAGAATATGAAAATGGAATACCAGGATTGACTACTATAGCATAAATGATTCATGCGTAATTTTAAAGAGGTGATAAGATAACTTGGTTGTAAGTATTATTTAATATTTATGTTTTATATTGTACATATATTTTAGTATAAACACTGATTTATGATTTCTTCACATAGTTCAGATCTGTGGATCATCACAAAGCATCTATGTAACAAATGTCATTAAAGTTCAGTGAGTGGTTGTTTACACGTGGTACACACACACACAAATGAAAGATGAGATAAATACAGACAGGAGTTGAAAATATTGTACGACAGCACCATATCTGTACTTTGTTCAAATCCCCGAACAGTTAAATATTATGTCTGTCAGTTAAATAAAAATCTTTCAGTTTCTCACAAGTAATTCTTATACTAAATAACAAAATGTACAGGACTTTATAAAAGCATAACATTTGACCAAGGTTTGGTAGCTACAATCACATAAAGACCCATCACACGCATTACACAGTAGTTCATTTAGTATATACACCGTAGTTCTAAGAATGGTCATATTTCGAGTTACGAAGAAGTTGGGCTCAAATAAAGCCGTCCGACCGAATACATTTTATGTTACAAAGACAATCAGTCAGTCAATCACATGTAAATAGACAAGCAGCATGTCAGCTGATATCGCTCCTCTTTCAGATTCTTACAACATAAAGCAATTGAATCCACAGTTTTAGCAATCCATATATTACAAAATGAATAAATTTGATTGTGTTCCATATAAGCAGAAGGCGTTGCCTAAAAGGACAACACGGCTAAAAATATTACTAATTTCCACACAGCAATCTGACTAATACTATAACAATTGCTGTTGCTGTTGAGGCTGTAAATACATCGGTTGCTGTACCATAGAGGGCGGCATACTAGTAGGCCCGTGTAGGGTGTTAGGGCCGTCTGTTACTGGAGGAGGGCCTTGTACATTGTTTTGATTTAGCTGTTGTTGTTGAAGTGAAGAAACTGGGTGACTGTAAGACGACGGTGGCATTGAACTGAAAATAAACACAATAACATTGGTAAGCTGATTGCAATTATGATAAATTTAATGGAAACTATACTTCAATTTCACTGACAAAAGATGGTTCATTTTATCTTGCATGCAATAGGCATGGAGCAGGCAATGAACCTCTTCGGGGAACATTTTGAGAGCATTTACATTTATGGACCCTTTTGGGTTTGAGACTACTATTTGAAATATTTGATGGTCAGTACTTGAGTAAGCTATGGGAAATGTATAATACAAAACATTGCTCTCAAAATTGTTGAAAGTGCTGGCAATCTATTCGGCTTCCCTTTTTGTACACCAGAGCTATGGTCCATGTAACAGTCATAATTTTGTAACCACGATGAAATGAAACATCTAGATCAGAGAACATAGCATTACAGTTCATCAAGGTAGAATGTGTGACTGATATAATATGTATTACACAAGGTTTGAACTCAAGAAGGCATCAAACTGCTTGATGCACAATAAGTTTGCCTTGGTGTCTTTTGGTATTCTCTGTTATTCCTATGTGCCATTTTATACATTTTGGTCAAAACAAAAAATGGGTGCCCTCTCAATACATTATTACATTATAATGTTAGTACATGTGTACATGTACTGTAATATACTTTATTTTAATTAGAATTTATTTTCACTGAATCATTCTTTCAACGAAAATTAATTCCAAGCGAAAATAAAGTATTTTACATTATTACATATGTACTGCAGTTTATTTTGATTCGTCCCTGAAATCAAAATCGGTATTTCCACAACCCATATGCAAATGAGGTCCGAGAGCAAACAAAGTAGTCCCTTCAGGAGTACAGTTTTTTGGAATAAACAATATTTAGAAGTACGATATTTTCCCCTTGGGGTACATGAATATACTTGCCCAGTGACATGAAATTTGAACAAGAGTAATGGTACTTTTAGGCAGTCACTTATTTTGGCCCAAACTAATTTGCATATCACCCATGCAATAATGTTTTTGGTATTTTCACGGTCGATATGCAAATGAACATGGTATTTTCATTGGCTACCGAACTATTTTTATTTTGTAAACACATTTTCGTCTGCTATTTTTATGGAATACTACGATTGGGAGAACTTAATGTATGTTGATCACCTGGAAATTGAGTTTTATAAACCTTGAAGGGCTCTCAGAAGATCCACCAGCAGTAAAATCAGCGATTACTATGCAGCCGCAACCATCAGCATCGAGATACCAGGTTTCTGCTGGCGACGTTGCGGCGTTACTCAGTTCCAAATAAAAATTACCAACGCCAAAATAGCAACATTTTAACCGGTAATCAAGACTCAGTCA